GTATTACTCGGCAATCAAAAAGAATGAAATCTTGCCATTTGCAACCACATGCATGGAACTGGAGGGTATTATGCTAAGTGAAATTAGTCAGTCAGAGAAAGACAAAAATCATATGACTTCACTCATATGAGGACTTTAAGAGACAAAACAGATGAACATAAGGGAAGGGAAACAAAAATAATATAAAAACAGGGAGACAAAACGGTAGAGACTCATAAATATGGAGAACAAACTGAGGGTTGCTGGAGGGTTTGTGGGAGGGGGGATGGGCTAAATGGGTAAGGGGCATTAAGGAATCTCCTCCTGAAATCATTGTCTCACTATATGCTAATTTGGATGTAAATTTTTAAAAATTTAAAATAAAAATAAATAAGTAAATAAATAATAAATAAAATAGAGAACGATTTTTAAAAAAAGAAAATGTAAATCGTCACCACTTTGAAAAAGTATATAAATATCTACTTAAGCTAAAAAAAAATACACATATTCTTTGGGGCACCTGGGTGATGATTCAGTTGGTTAAGCATTTGACTCGTGGTTTCTGCTCAGGTGATGATCTCACAGTGACAATCTGACAGTCTTAAGATTGAGTCCGGTGTCAACCTCCACACTGGGTGTGGAGTCAACGAAATATTCTCTCTCCCATTTCTCTCTCTCAAAATAAATAAATAAACGTTTTAAATATATATGTTCACACATAAAAATCAGTATGTATAAGGATATTTGCTGAAGCATTATTTATAACTGGTAATGACCAATCACAGTGAATGATCAATAGGGAAATGAAATCATACAAAACAGATAAATACATACATACATACACAATAGTCCAAGGGACTCCAAAAGATTCCTACAGGGTGTTGCCAAGGAAGAAAATCGAAATACAAAAAGTATATATAACAACTTCATATTTTTGTTTAAAAAAATACCAAAACATTTGTGCAGTGTGAGAGAGCAGAGAAGATAAGTAAAAGGATTCAAGACTGCTCACGGGAATTGCTTCAGCTACAAAGACAGCTTCCTTAGCGGAAGGCTTGGAGAAGGGAGGAGTCATCAAAAAGTAGAAGGAAATGAAAACACAGCATTTAAAGATGTTTGTGGAGGGGCGCCTGGGTGGCGCAGTCGGTTGAGCGTCCGACTTCAGCCAGGTCACGATCTCGTGGTCCGTGAGTTCGAGCCCCGCGTCGGGCTCTGGGCTGATGGCTCAGAGCCTGGAGCCTGTTTCCAATTGTGTGTCTCCCTCTCTCTCTGCCCCTCCCCCGTTCATGCTCTGTTTCTCTCTGTCCCAAAAATAAATAAAAACGTTGAAAAAAAATTTTAAAAAGAAAAAAATAAAGATGTTTGTGAATGGGTGCGTGTTTGCCTTTATGTGTCAAAGATCTGTATGTACACATTTATATATCAAAATGAAAACTAAATGGTTTAAAAAGATTGTAGCATTTTAGTCTATAAAAGCAGAAACTATAACATAAAATAATAACACAACTAAGATCAAATGTATGTTACATAAATAGGTATAAATGGGCTGCACTCACGCATTGGAGGAAAAAGATTTTAGATGGGATCACTAAACAAATGTCAGTTCTGTTTAAAAGAGACAGATCTAAAACAAAGTGATTCATCAAGACTGGAAATTTTTAAATGTTCAAATGTACACTAGGCACATGAAATAACAAAAATCACAGGAATCGCTTCCATTGTCAGATGACGTTACTTCATATATATAAAAAATAGTAAACGGCAGAAAAATATTAAATGGCATTCATAACGCTAGTAGATAAAATTTACAACAAAGATATAGCAAAGATAAATATTTATGTGCCAAATAATAAGTATCAATGTTCATAAAGCAAAAAGCACAGGAAACACAAGAAGCAAATATAGATTAAGTTTCCAAGTCTTCTAAGGCTGTAGAAAAGCCATAATACAATCTATGTATGTAATTAATAATAGTAGTAGAGCCATTGAAAAAATATATACTTGATACAGAGCTCTGTTTTCTTCTGTGTGGGTGTCCACGAGACACTGGCATCCAAGGACCGTGTTAAATCACACAGGTTACATCACACAGACAACTCTCAGTTGGAAAGACAGGGAGCAAAGGAAACAGGGAAAGAAAGGAGGAAAGTGTAGACAACTGTGTGGGATGTCAAGTCAGCTTGGGGAAGACGGTGGGTCACCTGCGCCCACTGCAGAGTCCCTGTGACTGACAGTAAATCGTCCCTACTAAGCAACAGGGGTGTCTGATTGCCTGCAATCACAGTAGCACATTCTCCAAAACCAAACCAGCAGAACAGTGCGCACATCCTCGTCGGATAAGAGCAGGGGGGCAGGGGGAAAGGGACGGAAATCCGTGGAGCAAGTGACGGCCTACACACACACATGCATTCGCCCGTTTGGACGAGCCGCTCAAAGCTTGAGTAAGCATGACACTTTGCCCTTAAATACGTCGCTATGGTTAAGTATCACACTGAGGGAATTTAACATTGATACGACAATATAAAATCCGCATTCAATTTTCACAGTTGTTCCAAAGTCTTTTGAAGCTATTTTGTTGTGGGGTGTTGTTGTTGTTGTTGTTGTTGTTGTTGTTGTTGTTGTTGTTGTTTTGTTACCCACGATCCAACAAGGATCCTGAATTATATTTTATGGTCATGTTTTTTAGTCTTCAATTTAGAAGAGCATCCCCTGGGCCTTTGTCTTGTCCTTTACAGACATTGGTACTTTTGAAGCACATGTCAGCTGTCTTATAGAAGGTGCCACAGTCTGGGTCACAGTCTGATTGTTTCCTTATAATTATACTCAAGTTAAACATCTTTGCAAAGAATACTACATGGGTCTCACTGAGAGAGCATTCACGTGGGCATGTGTCCACGTGGAGTATTTTCCACTCTGCTCCTTGGGGCATGCATGCCACCACCCTCCTTAGAGGGCCACGCACCAGGGACAGAAGACTAATGGACAGAAAGGAAACTGGATCCCTGAGCACTTGTCGAGTCAGAGAAACCACACCGCTCTGAATACAACACTTCAGACGTTCAAGTGAAAGGCAAATACATTTTCATCCTTTGGAGCAACTGATATTTTTATCACTTTAGACAAACCGAATAAAGGGGGCAGATACTATGGATTTGGAAGAAAACTAAGTAGGGGATCTGGTATAAGTAAACTTTGAACTTCTAGTTACATGAGCCAATAAATGAACTGATTGTCTAAGCCAGTTTGAGTTTGGTGCTTATGTAATGATTGTTACATGTCTTGAAAACATCTTATCTGACACACACGCTTTATCATATCTCTGAAAATGTGTAAGAATATAGAACAAACCAAACAATATACTGAAATAATAGTGTAAATAATGTTCTTGTATAATAAATTAAAAGAGAAAAACAAGAAAAATTAGGGATGGTTTTCCAAGAAAATGGCATTTATCAGCTCACTAAGGTCAAAAGTGTTTATTTCTCTTTTACATTCTTAGTGCTCTCTACAATGACTGAAATATATAAGGGACTCTGACTGGGTTATCAAATGAGTTGATTACTGAATTATAGCTATAGAAACAAGATTGATAGAAATGCATTATTTTCATAAGTGTATTAGGACATCTATAGTAACAGAAAGAAGAAAATCATGGAGAAGAAAATATCTCTGGTTGAACCAGAATATCTCTGAAATGTTCTGGACAGGCCACACTCTACTCTTCCCGATCTAAGAGACAGACTCCAAAACAACAGATTTAATTGTTTATGTGAAGAGTTCTACCCATTGGAAAGTCAAATGCTTGGAGACTCAGGTCCTCAGAGACTCTTAAAAGACAGCACTGAGGGATCCACAGTGCGAAGAAAGAAGGAAATAAGTCATCAAATACCATCTGCCTTTATCACTGCCTATTTCTCCAAATAGAAAGACAACATTTAGATAATGTCTCCTGGAGGCCAGTAAGGTGGAATGAGCCAAGGACTCCATACCTGCAGAATAACAGCGTGTGAACTTGCATTTTTAATATTCGATCTTGAATGTGGTTATCTTCTTGCACTTCTTTGGATTTATGCATCTGTTTGACTATCTCTGGCGTTTATATTTTTATGTTAAATGTGTTTTCACTTTCATTGTTATTTGTAGTGATACTTGCATTGTGTAAACATGATTTATTTTTGACCTTAGATGCACCTAGAGCGTGAAAATATTGGGCTATTTATTTTTCTGTGCTGTATTTAGAAATTTAATGTTAGTGTGTGAGTTTGTGGACTTTATGTGTGTGGCTTAGGGACCTGAGGATGTGCTATGGTATAACGGGGTGAGTTTTAGAGGCTGTCAAATGCAGAAATAAACAACCAAGAAGACCTTCTTATCTCCTTCCTGGGCACCTTTTTAAACTAGGGAGCCCCTCACTTGTTGGGATAGCCATTTACCTGTCTCCAGGAGTTTGAAGGAGATGGCCTCTCAAATTCCCTTCCTCTCCTTGCAAAGCATGAAATTTGTTTAAAGGCAAAATGATAAAGAAAAAATAAGAGAGAGAGAAAGAGGAGGTGAGTGGAGCTGGAAAAATTTCTAGAAGAGGTGAAAATTGGGTCAGAGACGATACACACTGAGAGGAAAGGAAAGAGAAACCAAGTGAAAGAAGGAAAGAAAAAGAAAGAGAAGGACCCAAGTGGGAGAAGAACACAGGGGAAGGTCCCGACAGAACAAATTCTGGCTTTGAGGAGGAGGACGCCTGCCCTCAAGCCCCACGAAACAGGAGGAAGGGCCGGGTGGCAGGCTCAGCACTCAGCCCCGGGGAAGCTGAGGCAGGACCACGTGGGTCCCACCAAACGCAGGCACCTGCAGAGGTGAGTTTAGCCATCCAGGCTGGCAGCACTGAGCCCTCCCAAGGGAGCAAGGCTGACGTGGGCAAGGGAGTGCTGCCCCAAAGGCCAGGGACACTGGGAGAACGGGCATCCAGAGGCCACCTGTGTCCACGTCACGATTCCGTGGCTGCCCCTGCCCTGGGCTGTGAGCAGGACGGGCACGAACGCCTCCCTGGTGGCCAAGTTCATCCCCGTGGGCTTCTCCCACCTGGCCCACCTGCAGGGCTGGCTCTTCTTCCTCTTCCTGGGCGTCTACCTGCTCACTGTGGCCAACGACCTATTCATAGTAGTCGTGGTGTCGGCCGACGCCACCTGCAGTCCCCCATGTACTGCTTCCTGCGCGTGCTGTCAGCCCTGGAGATTAGCACCACATCGGTCACCCTGCCCCTGCTGCCCCACCGCCTCCTCACAGGCCAGCGCCACGTGCCCCACATGGGCTGCACTCTCCACATGTTCTTCTTCCTCTTCCTCAGGGCCACGGAGTGCTGTCTCCTGGTGGCCACAGCCTATGACTGCTACGCAGCCATCTGCAAACCCCTTGGCTACCCACTCCTGCTGAGCCACAGGGTGTGCCTCCAGCTGACAGGGGCCGCGTGGGCCTGTGGAGCAATGCTGGGCCTGAGCCACACCTCCTTCATCTTCTCCCTGCCCTTCTGCAGCCCCGACGCCAGCCTACACTTCCGGGTTCTTCTTGCCCTGTTTGCCAGGTGCAAAAACCCACCACAGATATGGAAGATGACAACTATAAATTACCCTTCCCACTTGCATTCAGCGCTCAGATCTTTGGAGAAACGGTCTCCTCTGAGCCCGTCGGTGTTAAATAAATCTCCAATCCACCAAGTTCTCCAAGTGCTGCTTGGTTTTTCCACCAGCGTTCCAGTCTGGTTGCGAAACATACTTGGTTCCCTGACTGGGAAACCCAATTGCGTTGGTCTATTGTTGCCACTGGCTTGGGAGAACAGCGAGGCAGTGATGGAATGAAGGATCACAAGGGAGAGGGCCCACCTTGCCTGAATTTCGGCAGACTCCTTCTCGGTTGCCTCGGGCCGGCCCCTGCTCCGCCACTCCCACCGGACTCAAGGAGACTTGGCAGGTGAGGACCTGGACCCGACGTCAGAACTGGTAAGACTGGAGCCCAATCTAGTCTGGCCCACTCGCAAGAGTGGAAGGGGGACCTGATCACTCCCCGAGACTTCAGAAGTCTCACAGGTAGGAATACTGTGGAAGGAAATATAATAACCTCTGGTGTGTGTGTGTTGAAATGTGCAGCTCAGCCAGGCTTGCCAGTCGAATTCGAGTCTGTAGCTCCACGGACGGGCACCCTTAAAGTCCCCAAAAATTTACAGAGTCTGAATGGGCTCTCCTGTGTCATGGTAAGAGTATAAGGTCTAAGGTGGTATCGGGTCAGATTCCAACCACAAGTCACAAAGCTGAGTCTGCTAAGGCCAAACCTCACCTAAAGTTTCCCTCGGGAACGCGACCAGAGGAGTATCTGATTGGTCCTCTCATCTGAGGGGATACCCTCCCTTTGTCTGTCTTTGCGACACCAAACACAAGAAAGGAATTAATAATGGGATCAAAACAGAGTAAGCCTACGATTTTAGAGGTCATACTCAAAAATTTTAAAAAGGGATTTTCAGACGATTACAGGGTGAAAATGACACCCAGGAAGTTAAGGATCTTTTGTGAACTAGAATGGCCCCTATTCAATGTAGGATGGCTCCTAGAAGGGACATTAGATACTCAAATAGTACTGTGGGTTTGGCTAATAGTCACTGGGAACCCAGGCCACCCTGATCAATTTCCATACATTGACTCCTGGCTTGAAATTGCCCAAAATCCCCTGCCTTGGGTGTGATTCATCATTAGCAAACAGAGCCAGGCAAAGGTTTTAGCCACTTTATGTGGAGGCTCACCCAAGAAGCCAAAGAAGCAACCCACCGCTCCCCTAGTGTTTGCAAGAAACCCAGAGGAAGATCCCCTCTTTCCGCCACCTTATGACTCACCGGGCTCCCTCCCCACTGCCCCTGAGCTTGAAACTCCTCCCCCGTCTGTCTCTCCTCCCCTCCTGGACCCAGAGAACCCTCCCTGACAAGGACCAGTGACCAGATTGCACCCTTGGCCAGGCACAGGCACTCTCCAGATGTCAGTCCAGATCCGCCGGTACCAAGAGGCTCTCCTCCGGGTCATCAGAGCAGGGGCTGAGAAGCCCAGAGTTAAGAAGGCCAACTCAGAGGAACCCTCAACCTGGCAGTGATCAAGATCCAGTCAACCGCTTAAACTGACCCTCAAAAAGACACTGGCCCCTGAGACCTCCACCCCTGCTCCGGCCACACCCCGGAAGCTGGCTGGCCTGCACATGGCAGAAGCTTGAGGAATCAATGTGTGGACTGAGCCCAGGGGTTCGGATGCAACTCTGCCAGCCCTTGCCCCTTACTGGTGTCATCGCCCTGATCTTGCTGCTTGCTGTTGGGCTAATAGAGACGGCACCAACAAACTGGCCACGGAACAGATGGCAGACTCCCTGGTAACCTAACCAAGCCAAATCAACTCCCTGGCAGCAGTGTTCCTCCAAAATAGGCAAGCCCTTGACCTCTTCACTTCAGAAAAAGGAGGGACTTGCATATTTCTGGGGGAGGAATGTTGCTATTTTGTAAACCGATCAGGAAGAGTCAGGACTAAGGTTAAGGAACTCAAGGAAAGAATTCAACGTAGACAACAGGAAAACATCAGTCAATGGAGAGGATGGGATCTCACAGACTGGGCATCCTGGCTCCCTTCGCTGGCAGGGCCCCTTCTTTCTATAATTTTCCTTGCGACCATCGGCCCCTGTATACTAAATACCCTGGTACATTTTATTGAAAACACTGTTGCTTGCCAAACTACAGCCCGTATCTTAGCTTTCCAAGAGTACCAACCTGTAAAACTGAAAGGTGATGCCTAGTGAAAGTTTTTTTTAAGGCATCAAAGTGGGTAATGTTGGAGAAATGAATAAAGTCTTACACCACAAGATGGCCGATGAGACTAAAACAAGCTCTGGTCTCTGACTTAGAGACCCCTCTTCCAGGTTCTTCTTGTCCTGTTTGTCGCACACACGAAAACACCCACAGATATGGAAGCTGACGACTATAAATTACCCTTCCCCCCCTTCATTCGTAGCTCAGATCTTTGGAGAAACAGTCTCCTCTGAGCCCGCCGATGTTAAATAAATCTCCAATCCACCAAGATCTCTGAGTGCTGCTTGGTTTTTCCACCTGAGTCACAGCCTGGTTCCGTAACAGTATTTTTTCTATTCCACCATTTTCTTTGTTCGGTCTACCTCAGCCTTATTTTGTGCAGTTCACGGAAGGCACATTAAAGCCTTTCAGGAACAAGGCCTGCATGCAAATCACAGCACAGAGCCTGCTGAGTGGGGAAAACCCTGGGTTAAGACGGAAGACCTGGCTGCCACCCACACCGTGCCACAGATGACTCTCAGGACCTGCCACGTTCTGCTCCCATCATGTCTCTGGTTTTCAACTTCCTCAATGAACCACATGGGCCTTGTGCCAGGCTCAGCCCCACTCTTCTACACCCCAGGAGTTTCTCTTTCTTGTGGCTGATTTTCTTACAAAGAACCAAAAAGATTATGTTCAATGCTTCTTGTCCACCATCCCTACCAAGTGATCTTGAACTATGGTAATCCCAGCCAAATATAAGCATGGTCACTTGGTTGCCATAGAGACCAGTCAAAATAGGTAGCACGTTTCCAAATTCAAAACTATGACGCTGGATCTAAAACAAGTCAAGTGGAAAAGTTTCTGTTTATTTACAAAGATATTTCCAGCAAGAGGGCAGACAAGCCTGGTTCACCAGAAGAAAGGGAACAGAGAGGATGAAGGGACCTTTAGTGACCCACATCTACCTTCCTCCAATGCCGCGGCGCTAAGAGGGCAAATGATCGCGGCTCCCAGGATGCAGTGTGCTCTCCGCCTGGCCTGTCTGGTCCACGCTCATCATGTGCTCCAGCTGTGTGGAGGCAGCCAGCATGGGACCCAGAAAGCCTCGGCCAAGGCACCTTGTCTCACCCAGGACCGTCAGCTCCTTGTCTGCTAGAAGCCAGCCCCAGCCACACACAGCTTTCCAAACTAGTGCACCAAAAACAGTAACACAACTGCCTGACCAGATGCCTGAAACGCGCCCATAAAGACTCATAAAAGCTCTTCCCTTCAGATCACAGATGATTTCTTGCTTTAGGAGTTTCCGAGAAAGTACATTACCTGAGTCCTTTATCATTTACAGCTTGAGGGAGCGTTCTAACAGCAAGGCGTCACAGGACTTGGAATCCACACAGGGCCAGGGAATGATGGCAGACAAGCCAAATGCAAAACGGAAGGGTCTCACAGGTGGAAAGGTGTGTAAGTCCGACCTTGTGCCCCAGTCAACAACAGGATACCTACAAAAACAGACACTCAGATCAATGGGACAGAACAGAGAGCCCAGAAATGGACCCACAAACGTATGACCCACTAATCTTTGACAAAGCAGGAAAGACTATCCAATGGAATAAAGACACTCTCTTCAGCAAATAGTACTGGGGAAACTGGACAGCGACATATAGAAGAATAAACCTGGACCACTTTCTTACACCAGACACAAAAATAAACTCAAAATGGATGAAGCGCCTCAGTGTAAGACAGGAAGCCATCAAAATCCTTGAGGAGAAAGCAGGCAAAAACCTCTTTGACCTCAGCCTCAGCAACTTCTTACTCAACACGTCTCTGGAGGCAAGGGAAATAAAAGTAAAAATGAACTATTGGGACCTCATCAAAATAAAAAGCTTCTGCACAGCGAAGGAAACAATCAGCAAAACTAAAAGGCAACTGACAGAATGAGAGAAGATATTTGCAAATGATGTAGTGTGGGGGTAATGGTGGGGTTCAGGGTTTTGGAGCTGATGGCCAAGAAAGAATTTTTAAGATGTCTTTGGTGCAAAAAGGTGGTTTTATTAAAGCATGGGGATGGGACCCATAGGCAGTAAAGTCTAGGGGAAGTTTCCAGTGAGACTTTCATAAGCCGAAGCAGACTCACAGGACACCGGAGGCCTAGCTATTGTCAAGGTAGGGTGGTTTTTCTCTCTAGCAAAGTATTAGCATTAAGACAGTACAGGGTTCCTGGAGGGATGGTTTACTCTGCCAGTCTCAAGTATCTGCCAATGGGCTGCAGGTTATAAGGAAACTTAGTTCTACCTGCCATTTCCTTCTGCCTTTGTTCCCACATCACTGTGGAGGAGAGGGTGATGTTGGGGCTCCAGGAAACGGAGTCTATAGGTTTCTGGAGATTAGACAATGGATAAGATTGCCTTTTCTTGTAATTTACTAAGACATTTGTAAACTGATGGAGACTCACATCCTGCAGGACTGCAATCTCTAGTTACCATTTGTTTTCCCCTTTGTTCCTGGGCAGCCAGGAGAGCCTGAGGAATGCCACACATCCCACTTGCAGGGGGGGGGGGGGGGGGGGGCGGGGGCGGGGGTTGTCCAGGGTGTCAGCTTGCCTTAGCTCCCTCATCACAAATGACATATCTGATAGAGCGATTCCAAAATACATAAAAAACTTACAAAACTGAACACCCAAAAAACAATCCAATTTAAAATGGGCAGAGCAAATTATATGAAAATACTAATTTGAGACGACACATGCACCATAATGTTTATAGCAGGCTATC